AATTCAAACAATGATAAAATCAGATATTAAAGGAGGCATGTAAACAAGTTTCAGAATAATACATTGTTAAAATAGATAAACTGGTTTGTTAGGTTTTCATAAGATGGCTGAAGTTCTTGAGCCTGATTGTTTTTAAAAGAAAGGAAATTAATATTAATTGAAGAATTATCTACAGTAGATTACTCAAGATGCTTGTACAAAGTTAGGTTGTGATTAATGATTAGGTTGAGGATTACTCTCTGGCTGCTGTGAATGAAATACGGGGGCAGAATAACCATCTAATATGAAAAGAAAACTGGAATTTGAGCAAAGTACTCTTTTGTCAAAAAAGTTACAGTGATACCATATGGAATAAAATGCATAGCACATGCTAATATCTTTAAAATGATAATATGTGAAATGTTCTCTATAACAAGAAGAGTTACGCTATTTCATTTCAGATATCAGTGAACCCAAAACATGCCTTGGACACATTGCAAATAATGATGGATACTGGGAGTTATAGTTTAGCAAAATCTGGAGTGCATGCACAATTTTAACAATAAACTTCATGGAGATAGATCACCAGATCTAATGAAAACCTGCACGATAAATTTTGATATTTATATTGTGATTCAAGATACAATATAAAAATATAATAAAATTATATTTAAAAATAAATATAAAAATATATTAAAATTCTACTTATGGCTGAACATTTTGAACATGGTTAGTTTAGTTCATTGATTAGCCCATAGGCCACATCAAAATACAGAGTTCCAAGCTCAAATTATTAATAAAATCATATAAAAACAATTTAAAATGAAATTAAATACAATAATTTAATATATAGATATGTAAAATAAGATAAAATTATATTTCAGTATTACCCCTACAATCTACCCCTATCAGTCCCACATATGCAGATCTCACCAAAACATTTTACTCATGTATTGTACCGTATTAAATATTGTTTTCAAATTCTGGCTACATACAATGTACTGTATTTTTCGGAGTATAAAATGCACTGGAGTATAAGTTGCAGCTTAGTTTTGGGGAGGAAAATAGGGGGAAAAAAAATCTGCCTACCAGGTATTCATCTGGCTAGCGACCTTAGTTTGGTCAGCTTCAGCATATTAGTTTGCTGATTTTGAGCACGCGCGCACACTTTTTATCCCTTGCTTGGGGATAAAAAACAACTTCTAAAGCACAGCTGAGAGGGAGCAGCAATGAGAAAAGCAGGCAAAGCTCAGAAGATTGCTTCACTCACTAGCGCCTCATTAGGGCTGAAAAAAAGCTTCTGAAGCACAGCTGGGAGGGAGCAGGCAAAGAGCAGAAGATTGCTTTACTCGCTAGTGCCTTGTTAGGGCTGAAAAAAAAAGCTTCAAAAAAGCTACATTCGGTGTATAAGACACACCCAAATTTTCAGCCTCTTTTAGGGGGGAAAAGTGCGTCTTATACTCCGAAAATATGGTATGTTGTTTTAACATGGGGTTCCCAATGGATCATTTGTTTAATGTATGAACCAACTTATATAAACCACAATCAAATAGTATGTGAACCAAGTCTTCTACCTCTGCTGCTCCGCAAATGCAGATACATCCATTATGTAGTAGAGAATGGAATCTCCCATATCTGACCATTGTATCAAGCTGTTCGAATCTCGCTCACGTAAATATCTCCCTAAGATGTTTTGGCGATTGTAATTTTAAATTGCTGTCTATTTGAAAAGTATGTTTATGTTTACTCATCCATTTCAAGTTACCAGCCTTACTAAGAGTAGCTATATTATTTTGTGGTTCTAGGTCCATGATTCTTTGAGCAACTGTTTTTTTTAACTTGTTCTCCTGTTACACAATAGACAGGAAGGCAAACATGATAATATTCCTGTAACTGTTCAACACAATTTCCATGTTTGCAAATTACAAGATCAAATTTAGTTTTCTATAATTAAAGCATTTACCGTATTTTCCGGCATATAAGACGACTGGGCGTATAAGACGACCCCCAACTTTTCCTGTTAAAATATAGGGTTTGGGCTATACTCGCCATATAAGACTGCCCCTCTTCCAATGCACACCAAATAAAAATTAAAAAACATCAACTGGCTCGCCTACAATGTAAAAGCAGCTGTGCTAGACCCAAAATGGCCCCTGTAACAAGCAGGAACCTCACACAGCCACAAAAAGCCCCCCCAAAAAACTTTCACACTCTAAACACACACAACACAACACAACTGGCTCACCCACAATGTAAAAGCAGCTGTGCTAGACCCAAAATGGCCCCTGTAACAAGCAGGAACCTCACACAGCCACAAAAAGCCCCCCCAAAAAACTTTCACACTCTAAACACACACAACACAACACAACTGGCTCACCCACAATGTAAAAGCAGCTGTGCTAGACCCAAAATGGCCCCTGCAACAAGCAGGAACCTCACACAGCCACAAAAAGTCCAAAAAACCAACTTTCACACTTTACACACACAAAATTCCACATACAGCTTTGTGAGATTTTGTGTGTTTGTGTAGTTGGAGTGAAACACTACAGAAACACACTAAATCTCAGAAAGCTGCACAAATATTGTTTTATTTTATTTTATTTTTATTTTTATATGAAAGCTAAATTTAAAACTTCCTGAACTTTAAATGGCTAGGTCTAAAAAAGAACAACTAAAAAAACCTCAATTGACTATTTTTTTAAAGCTCCCAAAGGGGAAAAAAACTTACCCAATAGAACAGGGGTCTCCAACCTTGGCAACTTTAAGACTTGTAGACTTCAACTCCCAGAATTCCTCAGCCAGCTTTGCTTTGCTGGCTGAGGAATTCTGGGAGTTGAAGTCCACAACTAACTCCTTGCTTGATTGCAGGCAGGGAGTTGCTTGCGTTGCCTGAATAGATTCAGGCAAGCAAAGCAAGGCAAGCGTTGCGACTAGCAGCTGAGGTAAGCAAGCTGGAGGGGGAAAACTTTTTCCCTTTTACATGGCTCTGGCCATCCCAGCTGAGTTGCAGGGAACTCAGCTGGGATGGGATCGACCGTCAGAACTGGGACCGTCAGAGCCATGGTTCTGGCGATCCCAGCTGAGTTGCAGGGAACTCAGCTGGGATCGTCAGAGCTGGGATCCTCAGAGTAAAAGGTAAAAAACCTTTTTCCTTTTACGTGGTTTCTGGCGATCCCAGCTGAGTTGCAGGGAACTCAGCTGGGATCGTCAGAGCTGGGATCCTCAGAGTAAAAGGTAAAAAACCTTTTTCCTTTTACGTGGTTTCTGGCGATCCCAGCTGAGTTGCAGGGAACTCAGCTGGGATCGTCAGAGCTGGGATCGTCAGAGTAAAAGGGAAAAAACCTTTTTCCTTTTACGTGGTTTCTGGCAATCCCAGCTGAGTTGCAGGGAACTCAGCTGGGATTGTCAGAGCTGGGATCGCCAGAGTAAAAGGGAAAAAACTTTTTTCCTTTTACGTGGTTTCTGGCGATCCCAGCTGAGTTGCAGGGAACTCAGCTGGGATTGTCAGAGCTGGGATCGCCAGAGCTGGGATCGCCAGAGCCATTTAAGGCTCGTCAGAGCCTTTCGGGCTGGTCTGCCTGATTACAGGAGAACTACACCCGGCGTATAAGACGACCCCCGACTTTTGAGAAGATTTTCATGTGTTAAAAAGTCGTCTTATACGCTGGAAAATACGGTAGGTAAAGGTAAAGGTTCCCCCACACATGCATGCTAGTCATTTCCAGCTATAAGGGGCGGTGCTCATCTCCGTTTCTAAGCCGAAGACCCAGCGCTGCCCGAAGACGTCTCTGTGGTCCTGTGGCCAGCAGGACTATATGCCAAAGGCGCACGGAACGCTGTTATCTTCCCACCAAAGGTGGTCCCTATTTTTCTACTTGTATTTTTTAATGTGCTTTCGAACTGCTAGATTGGCAGAAGCTGGGACAAATGATGGGAGCTCACTCCGTTACGCGGCGCTAGGGATTCAAACCACTGAACTGCTGACCTTCTAATTGACAAGCTCACGGTCTTAGCCACTGAGCCACCAGATCCCTTTAAAGCATTTAGAAAGAACAATTCAGTAAGTATGTTCTGGTTTTTTTTCTTTTCCGTTCTTCACAGTTAATGCCCACTGAATTCTATTTATGTGTTTATTTTCAAATAGTGCACGCTTTAGGATAAAACATACCCCAGGGATAAAACAAATAGAAGATATTTGGACTATCTGAGAAACAAAATTGGTAATTCTGGTGATCACTTGCCAAGATGAACAGGCACCAACTTGCTTTGTATTGCACTAGATCTTTTCAGAATTCCCATTTCAGCACTCAAGTTCTACATTAACTGAAAACTTGCAGGCCAAAAATGGACTTGCCATAATGCAAAATCAGGAAAAACTATAAAAAGCAGGAAATCAGGCAACATCAGCAGGGCACGTTTCCAAAAGACTTAATTGCAGACTGGAAAAGTATTCTGGTTGCTATGCTCATTTAAATTAAGAAAAAAAAAGGAATGAAAAGATCTTACAGATGTTTCTGCAAAAAGTGAGGATTCAGTTGCATTCATGGTATATAAACTATGAATCAAACATCACACATAAGTCACAAAGACTTTTAGCTCCATATGGATGGCAGGAGGATCATAGTAAATGCTCAAATCCTCAGTGTAAATGTATGTCAAAATCAGAGGAAGTCAAATTTTCAATAAGTAACTGATCTGATCCTTCAGGCAAACTTAAAGATGATATTGAATGGGCATGTCTTTTTAAGAGTAATAAATGATGTCCCCATCCTTTTGGCTACTAGAGTGGACTAAAGCGTCTAACCAGAAGAAAAAAAAATAGAAGTCTGTTCTTGATGTCAGTTAATACTGGAACTTATAGAAATGACAAAAAACGTTACAACATTAGAAATATTAAAACATACCTTTGAAGAATGGAATCAGAAATCAATAACTACATTATCAACACCGTCATTAATAATGTTTGCTTCTATGGACAGACTGTCACAAATATGTTAATGAAGGAATGACAGATGTGGAACCAATTTTATCTGATAAGCCAGAGAAAGTCCAGAAGTGGAATTACAAATGACAGGCCAAGAGAATGATTTGGGAAACGAAATTTGAGAAAGGATTTTTTTTCCTCTTCTCTTCTCTTCTCTTCTCTTCTCTTCTCTTCTCTTCTCTTCTCTTCTCTTCTCTTCTCTTCTCTTCTCTTCTCTTCTCTTGAAGATGCTGAGCTTGTCAACTGGAAAGCTGGCAGCCCAGGTTCAAGACCCGAATGCTGTGCAACAGGTGAGCTCCTCTTCTTGCCCCAGCTCCTGTCCACCTAGTAGTTTGAAAGCATGCAAATGCAAGTAGATTAATAGGTACCACTTCAGTGGGAAGGTAACAGCATTCCATGCACTTTGGCAAATGCTGGCCACATGACCACAGAAAATGTCTTTGGACAAGAATGGCTCCCTTGTCTGAGAAATGGAGATGAGTACCATACACTAGAGTTAGACTCAACTACACAGAGAAAGTTTTACCTTTAACTTTATTTATATCCTATGAGTGATATTTAGTAAATCGTATAAACAGTAAATTATGAAACTTTTCAACATCTCCCAACCTCAAAAAGAAATGCAAACTGAATTAATTGAAAATGGAGTTTCAGGACTGATTAGCTTAGTCTGAATATATTACATCCATCTTTCTCATTTATTTTCTAATACTATGTCTCCCCAAAAACATTTATATTAATTTGTATTAAAGACTATGGACATACATACGTATTTGTGAATAAAATGGTTTGACATTTACTTTTGACTATGTCCAACCATTTTTAAATGTCTCTTTCTTTAATTAGATAGTAAATAAGTTCCTTTAGAATGGATGGAATTTATTTCTAAGCAAACAGGATTAAGTTCCCATTGTAAACACAAATAATCTCAAATCAAAGAAGGCTAGAGGGATTCATATTCAAAGATCTAGTGAAATAAGTGGATTTAAGTTAGTTATCGATTACTTACTCCTGTAGATTTCATTGAAACTATGAAACTATGTTTTCATTCTCAATCTCTTGTTAAGATGGTGGTTCAGATTCCTTGTTAAAATGATGTCTCCAAAGTGCAGATAAGAATAAAAGCCTTTTCTAGGCAGAACTGTATCTTTGTAGAGCAGTGGTCTCCACCTTTCTGGCTTTGCAGACTGGTGGGGGGAGAAAAGGAGATGGTTCCATGTGAGTGGTGGGTTAGTCACAAATGGAGCTGCACCTGCTTGCCTGCTCACTGCATGTGCAAGTGGAGGCACACACACATGCTTGCCCACTGCTTCCGTGGCCCAATTCTGAATGACCAAGCTACACATGATAGAGTGAGCTCCTCTCCTTGCCCCAGCTCCTACACACTACAAGTAGTTTGAAAGCATACAAATGCAAGTAGATAAATAGGTACCACTACAGTGGGAAGGTAACATAACTCTGTGACATCATGTTGGCCACATAGCTGAGGAAATGTCTTTGGACAGCACTTGCTCAATGCCTCTGTTTCAATGCCTTGAAACAGAGATGAGCACCATCCCCTATAGTCAGCAACTTGATATTTATTAATATATTGTTCTAATATTTTAAATAGTTTTTGTAATGTGATCAGAGAACACTGGTTATTGAACAGATTACAAATAGGCAGTATATTATAAATACATATTTCCCTCTCAAATGGTATCTTCTCCACATATATGTCTTTACACTCTTCCATACCCATGATGCTACAGCACGGATAATGCTATGGTTTAGATAATTTCTTGCTTCCTTCAATGTTATAAAAAAAGTGTGCCTGACTCTAAAATAAATGTTAGAATGCTAAAAATCCTGCTTTGTGATCCAATCAAGAAAAAAAAAAAGAATATTTTAAAATGGATTATTTTCCCACTCATATGTTGAGATGTTTGTTTATCAACATAGTACATCCAGGGGGCACATTATTTCTTCTGTACCATCAAGGCGATGGTGATCTATACTGTATATAAAGGCTTTTCAACATCTGAAGCACATTAAAGGCTGTATTGTTCATCTTTTCAACCAAAAGCAACTTTTTACTGCTCAATGTGGATATTGTGATACAAGTTATTTGTTTATAGATATTTATGAGGAAAATAAATGATCCAGAATTGTTTTTAAAAAGAAAACTTTGAAAGGTATTGACAGAGGGACTAACTGCAAAGAGAAGAATATTATCAACTAGTTTGCCGATGACTTTGTTCCCAGCCTCTGCCATCTCTTCTTTAAAAAAAAAAAAAAAAAGCAGCAAAGACCACATTATCCTTGTTCTCCAGCAGTGGATTTGACACCTCCTGCACCAGGGCTGACTGATGATGATCCATGTCGTTAACACAGTGCCTTTTGTTGCAATAAATGACTCATGGCAGGGATGCTTGCTAAGGGTGACAGATTCCTTTGCAGCCTGTACAGTAAGAAGGCTGGAGCTTTGCTTTTGAAGTTGCTGTCAATGAAATAATTAGGAAAGCAAAGAAAATGTTTATAAATGTGCAGTGGAAAGAAAAACGAAATTATGATAACAGTTGTGCAGATCGAGATTCCCACTGTTACATCTTAAAACAAAACAAAACCCACAAGTGATTACCACAACAAGAATAAAGGATACACCAGACTTACAATAAGGTTTAGCTCCTTTAAAGTACAAAGAGGAATGTAGTGGGTAGACTGATCTATAATCCTGGAAGACCTGATATACATTTTTTCATCCAGTGTGGTTATTTTTATATAAATGGTTTAGTTTAACTTGGGAAGATCTTATGGATATGCAGTGATCATACTGTAGTAGGGCTACATTGTGTATACAAGTACTGTATTGTGAGAATGATAACGTCAATTTAGCTGAGTCCATTGTTGGCTAAATCCATTGGTCTATTGTTCCAAATAAATTTCCTAAATAATTTATTAATTTAAAAAAAGAATATTTATTTAATAGTAACATAGGAGTACTTCTAAGAACATAAATCAAACAAGGGACAATATTCATTTTTTGTAAAGGAGTAAAGCGTAAAGGAATTTTAACTCATTTATTAACAATTCAGCCCTTTCTAAACACTTTAAACATATTTATTTCCACATGTTTAGAAATATTTTGAGGTATATAAAGCTCCAGATATTTACTATAATCAGCAGAAATCACAAAACCTAACCTAGCTGCATTGATATTAGGGCCAAAGGGAAAAATACAAGATTTATCCTAGTTTATCTTATAAGCCTTCCATCCTTTCTAAGGTAGGTAAATTGAGGACCCAGTTTGTGGGGGCAATAAGCTGACTTTGTATAAATATACAAAAGTATGAAGGCTATTGCTTAATGCATTGTAAGCTGCCCTGAGTCTCCGGAGAAGGGAGGCATATAAATCAAATTAAAAAAAAAAATAAGCAGAATATTTTTCCAAAATTCTGTATAGTCTTCATATAATTAGGCAATTTCATTTTATCAATATTCTAAGCTGGCCTTCATAGATGTAACAGCAGTAGCATCCCTCTGTGCTATGGAGATTAACTATGCTAAAACAAATTTTTTATTTTTCACTAAAAGCACCTAAACCTTTCTTACTGTTGACAAATCAGTGATAAACAAATTGAGCAAGTCAAGAATTTCAAAGATCTAGGTATTAACTTCTAGCTATCTACCTCATTGAGTCACTAAATAAGTGAGCTCTCATTAAGAGCACAGAGAGCCTTCAGGTAGAATATTAAATCTGCAAGCCACAAGGGCGAAGTTTATGTACTCTCAGCAATCAAATTATTCAAAGCTAAGGTCTTAATTTGGCTGCTACATAGTACTCAACTGTGCATATACAAAGACACTTTCACTAACTTTTAAAAGACTATTCTTTGTATTCCCCAGTCAACTATGAATGTAATTTCTCAATTGGAAGTTTGGTTGTTATTGAGCCCCTTTTGAGATTTTGCTATTTTAATTTCTTACTAAAACAAAATTTCTTGAGTCAGATCTTGATTCAGCTTATACTCATGGAGAAATACACCTCATCCTTGAAAAAGTATATCAAACTTGGCAAGGAGTAAAGTGTTACAAAAGATATTGTGATTATATGCATAGATTAATCTCAATAGGCAACCACAAACAAATGAACAACAAACCATAAACAAATACCAATTTAAGTGAACCACAGTGGCACACTACACCAAACATTTTATTCACATATCTCAGACACCTACACCGGGCTCCATTAACACCGTGGCCTCAAACTACCAACCTTGGAGATTTCACATAGAATACATTAGATATTTTAAGAAAATAAAAATGGTGAGTGACTTGCTTTTAATTTTATGAAGTGACCAAGAGGGAAAAGACAAAGATGCAATATGGCTACAAATAGGGCCTTATAACTTTTCTATAGTCAGAGGATTAATCCATTTTATATGATGCACTTTTCATTGATTTTTGACATAAATGGCATTCCATCAGTACTACAGATTAGAACTGTAACATACACTTGGGTACAAAAGGTCTGAGGTTCAAACCTTAGCTTTTCTACATGGCAAAAAACATCCTGACCTTGTTAAAACTCTAGCTAGCCAAAGGAAACAACAATGTGTTAATAAGAGCTAAGGGCTAAATGTGAACTGAGGGGTCCTTGGTGCTGTCTGAGTTTGCTTGTTGTCTTGCAAATGTTTCATTACCCAAACTAGGTAACATCATCAGGACTAGCATTGATGATGTTATCTAGTTTGGGTAATGAAACATCTGCAAGAAAACAAGCAAGCTCAGAGAGCACCAAGGACCCCTCAGTTCAACCTTGAGCTACAAACATTCTCCTTTATCAGTAAATATGAACTAATAGACTCCTTTAATGTAAGGCAGTTTTATCAATTCCTAAAGTATTTAAACCATATTTGTTCATAAATAGTTCCGAAGTAAGCAGATTTTGAATTCAGTGGAATGGAGGCTATTTAAATTGGAAGATACAAACTATAGGGTAAACAAACCCCTTTTTCTTAAGTGTGAATGACATAAAATATAGAATATATCTGAGAAACCAAATTATTCATAGAAGTCGAAAGGTACTCATGTATCCAGACTACTCTAAGGATGAAGTTCAGCTATAAAATAATTATTATGATGGATTATGTAAGTTTTTAGAATAAAAATATCCTGAACTCTTTTTATTTATCATACATTATAAGTTCTTTTGATACTAAACAGTTTTCTCAGCTTTAGTAAATAAAGTTGGGAAAAAGCTTTGGTCAGAATGACTATAAATTAATTAGAATATAGGTATCCTCACCCA